ACGTGCTGCGCAGGTGCGAAATTCGCAAGCTACCCAAGGAAGACTGACTAGGAACCCTCAAGTTAGGCAACAAAAAAGGTATACCCCCTCAAGAATCGTCCACAAGCCTATATTGTCGCCCGTCTTAAGATAGGTACCCCCTAGAAACCCCCTAGAGTTCCACACCCAGAGAGCCCAATACCCCTTAACTAAGGAAGAATACCTTAAATCATAATTATTGAAGGCCCCTATAATTTAAGGTACATTCCTAATTCAAGGGGGTATTGGGCTTTCTGGGCACAAAGTAGTGTACAGTCCGCACTGCAAGCTTCAGGTGTGTGCTTTGGCAGTGCCGAATTAAGATTGCTACCCTGGCAGTCGCATCAGCAGGAAAAGGATGAATCATAAGGGTTTAGGGTTTAGGGGTTTAGGGTTTAGGGGATAGTGCAGGAAAATACGCCATATGCCTTAAGGACAAGGTGAGCAAGATGCAAGGGCCAGCTCCCAGCAAACAGGTCACCCGGTTTTGGGGCATAAGCTCCCTTTCGTGTATGCTTTGCAGTTTAAGGTCGGTTTAAGGTTTAGGGTTTAGGGTTTTAGGGTTTTAGGGCTTAGGGTTTGGCATTTAGGTAGGATTCTTGGCAGAGGTTCCTTTAAAAACTAGCTAGAACTCACGCAATGATCGAGTCGAAGAATTGGCTGTGCGCTATTATATCGGGAGTCCCCAAGGTCAAGTTTCAGCGGTTCCGGAAGGATGTAGCCCTAAACCCTAAACCCTAAACCCCTCATCATGCCTAGAACTGGAAGGCAATCTGGTTGTCGGCTAGCAGTCGACAGATACCCTTGCCCTGAACATCCCCCGCAATATCAGGTTTGTTGGATTCCCACAACACAGTGTGTCTGACGTTCGGAGCAAGCGATCACATAAGATCGGCGCATGGAAAGGCAGTCTAAGTCGGCTGCTGAATACGGCTAGAGGCTAGAGTCCTACAAAGTAGAGCATGCGCATGCTTATTGTCTTGCAGCAAGACGGCACGGGATGTGCATCGTCTTTCGTTCATGGAAGAGCGACTTCACTGTAACAACGCGCGGTCGCAAGTTTAATTAGTAGTCACAGCCTTCCCAACAGACAAAAGGCTCTGGTACTGGAGTGGTTGTCGACAGGAGATGAGCCACAAGGCCTACCCATAGGCTCCTAAGTAGTTCTTTTTTTGGATTACCGTATAGGATTCTACATACAAACCACAAAAAGGAACTACTTAGGAGCCTATGGTTATAACCATATATCCCTACACACCCTAAACCCAAAACCCTAAACCCCAAAACCCCAAAACCCCACGACCCTAAAACCAAAAACCCCAAAACCCTAAAACCCAAAAACCCAAAACCCAATGTCTAGCTCCTCGCTTTTCGCCTGACAGCTCGGCTATTAGAAGCCCAGAGCTTAATTAAGGAATATACCTTAAATCTTATTAGGGGTTCCTATCATAATTTAAGGTATCTTCCTTAACTCCCTTATCAGAGCCCCTTATAGAGACCCTTATAGATCCCTTTAAGGAGCTATATGTATAATTTAAGGTATATGTTCCTTTAACTAAGGGGGTACTGGAGTCTCTGGGAGGGTCTGGAACTCCGAGGCCGGGGCTTCCTTGTTTTAGGGTTTAGGGTTTATAATAGGGGTTTAGGGTTTTAGGGTTTAGGGTTTAGGGTTTTGGGGTTTAGGGTTTAGGGGTTTAGGGTTTTAGGGTTTTGGGGTTTTGGGGTTTAGGGGTTTAGTACCTATATAGTAGAATATAGGGTCTCTATATTAGGAAACGATGATTTGGGAGAGTAGAGCCCAAAAAAGGTTGACCTTTCAATTATGGTGGGTTTTAGGGCTTTAGGGTTTTAGGGTTGAAGGCTTTAGGGGTAGGATTCGTCTATAAGCCCAAAAAGGTTAAAGGTTACCTACTCAGCTACTAAGTTACTCTGCCAATCGTTAGCAACCTCCACTGTCTATTTAGGGCTTAGGGTTTAAGGTTTTAGGGTTTTGGGGCTTTAGGGTTTAGGGTGGGCAACGTTTTGCTGGACTGGCCTGAAAAGAAAACTGCTTCCCTTCAGGACCCAGGAGCACACAACCATCAGCCCGTTCGGGGCGACGGGCGCATTGAGAGTGGTTTGCACGGGGTACTTAGGGGCTGAGTCCTCAGCTACTAAGGATAACCCTTTGCGGGACACGGCAGCTACTTCGGTCATGTGCTTTCTGTGGCCCTGACTCACGGCAAGGATTCCACTGGCCTGCGGCAACTAGGCTTTCGATCAGATCGTAACAGCTTTGAAGTCTCCAGCGCCCAGAGACTCCAATATCCCCTAATTATAAGGAATATACTGTAAATCTTATTGGGGTTCCTATTATAATTTAAGGTATATTCCTTAACTCCCTTATTGGAGCCCTTTACAGAGACCCTTATAGATCCCTTTAAGGAGCCCTATGTATATTTTAAGGTATATGTTCCTTAACTAAGGGGTATTGAAGTCTCCAGTGTCAGGGCCGAGCTCCAGGCCTAAACAAGCTTTCGAGGCTTTCAGAATGAGCGGATCACACTGTTGACGGACAAAATTCTGCATGAACCAAGTATAGTGTATAGTACCATAAATCCCGTAGTTTAGGTATATAAGGTCATGCAGGATTTTGTCCATCAGCCGCAACGATGGTGCAAAACAGCAGCAACACAAGCAGCAATGACTAGAAATAAGTAGAAACATCAATGCCTTAGAAGCTCCTGTCTGCTGCGCTGCCTACCATGTCGATCAGAAGTGCTGAAGGTTGCCTTCATGGAAGCCTGAGGGAAGACACATTGTGTGTCCTTGTGGTGCACCTGCGGCAGGGGTTCGGTGAACCCCCCACCCTGTAGTGGTATACTAGGGTGATCCTAATAATAAATATCATTGTCCCGAATAGCTCCGACCGGGTGGGTGGTCTACCTGGGGTTCCTTGTCCAGCTTGCAGGAAAGACCGCACGGAACCTAGCTCGCTTCAGCTCCTTACTAAGTGAACTAGGGCTCTTCAATTACGATTCTTGGTGTCTGCGGTTTTAGATGCAAGCTTTTTTTGTATGTTCGCTTGCCGCTTTTTGGGACAACCCCACCCCTGATCATCAATATTTACCCAATTAAAGGTACTATTTTGGGGGTATGCTTGATTGTGGAGTCGGGGATTTATCAGGAGGGGAGAGCGATTGCCACAGAACACGTGCTGTGCTGGTATCAGTGATGTTGCGCAGCAGTCCAAGAACAGCATCTGCGAAGAGTGGACCCCCCCACCCTGTAAAGGTGGTAGAACAAGTTTGAGTGGAAGGTTTCGGTTTAGGGGGTGTAGCAGGACGCCAATATAACCACCCTCATGGTCACTATTACGGAGAGGCTGTTGCACCTGATGCATTTGGCAAGAAGATAGTTATGAATTCCTTGCAGAAGTATGGTATAGGTTGCCTCAAAAAGACCACAGCTTATGTTACAAACTACTCAGGGCCTTGTGTTACATGATCCCTATGATTTACTTTCAAGACTCAGTTTCCATTCAATCTTCAACTTTCTTATCCGTTTGATGTTCCGTTCGCAGTAATTTGTTTGCTCCGGGGAAGCCAGGCGCCCGGGCCCTTTCGTGTCGGCATGCCATCCATGTTCCACAGTGCATCCATGGCCAAAGCATGCATGCCCAAACCAAGATGAGGTCCACTTGCGTGCGTGTGCGAGCACTAGAGCATCCCCTGCCCAAACCATGATAGCATCCATTTGCGAGTGCATGCGCTGGTCGGAGCATCTATGCCCAAACTATGATAACGTCAATTTGCGAGTGCGTGCCATTACCAGAACATCCATGGTCAAATCATGATAACGTTCATAAGCGAATGAGCGCAGTTACCAGAGCATCCACACCCGAACCATGATAACGTCCATTTGCGAGTGCACGCAATTACCAGGGAATCCATGCCCAAACTATGATAATGCCCATGTGTGCGAGCTTGCCATTACCGAAGTATCCATGCCCAAACCATGATAACATTAATAAGCGAATGTGTGCCAGTACTGGGGCATCCATGCCCAAACCATGATTTTGCGAGTGCGTGCGATTTCAAGAGCCAGTAAAGTCCATTTGCGAGTTCGTGCGACTACCAGAGCATCCATGCCCAACCATGATATGCCCGAGACTCGTGTGTGGTATCACTTCTTCTGTGCGTTAAACAAAACGTCGCGGGCATTTTGTCACTTGCGTAGCGAATCCTTCGAGTATCAAATTCCCTAGCCCTGCCACATAACTTGACATGTCTTCCAACCTCTTCCAACCACATTTGCTCAAACATAGGACGCCCGGTTCGGGAGCGAAATTTGTCAAGCACATACATGCATAAACTTCCCCGTTTCGTCCTCGACTCCTTTCCTGGCCCGTCGCACGCTTTAGGTTTTGGGACCCTTTAAGGTCTAGTTCGCCTTGGCCGTTGAGAACTTCAACGGTTTAGGGCTTAGGAGGGTTTAGGGTTTGAGAACTTGCTCTAGATGGGACTTTCCGCAAAATAGGGTACATTTTGGGGTCCTTATAATAAGGATCCTACTATTAGGGGTGCTATATTAGGGTCCCCTATTTTCGGAAACCCCCAGATTGCATGGCCATCACATGTAGAAGCGAGAAAAGGGCCGTTGCACTAGAAGTCAATTAGCAAAGAGACCTTCTGATGGAAACTGCTGACACCTTTGCTTGCCGATGCCCAACACCCTAAACCCTAAACCCTAAATCCTAAACCTGAAAACCGTCACAGCGACTCACCCTGCTAAATCGCAGAAGTCACGATCCCTTGCATGACACTCCAAGTTCCCCTCATTTCTACACCCTAGGCCCCTGAAGCCCTAACCCTAAACCCTTCATGCAAGTCAACGTGTTGGATTCCCATTGCAGCAGGTCAGCATGAAGTGGTGACCCTCCTAATAGGTTTCGGAGTTTTGGGTTTTTAGGGTGCGAACCCCGCATCTTTCCGGCGCAGCCTTCAAACGTTGAGTGTCATGGTCTTATCGCTCAAAAACGGTGACCTGTGCATGGGAACGCTTTCTCTGATTTCCATCTTGGCCATGGCTCTTCCCTAACATAATCAAGTTACCGTAACATGGAATTCGAACCCTCCACTCTTCTAACAACAACAACCCATATATACTGGCATTAGCCATCAGATGCTTGGGGCAAAACTGACTGATAGGGTGTCAGAGGGCTTATTCTCTGGGAAGGATCAGGCATCTGGTAAAACAGGCAAAAGGTGTCTGCAAATGGTTTTGTTTGGGGCCGTAATCCCCTGCCCCTGATATTGAAAACTCCACCACCCCTAGCATTGAAATGTTCCCCCCTTATTGCCATATATACAATGAGAATGTTGGATAGTTGCGGCATGGAAGGCGGCTTTCATACTGTTAGGGGAAGGGATCATGACTGGAAAGCTGCATGTCCGCGGTTGTTCTGGAGTAGTGTCCCACGCTCTACGCATCCAAACAAGGGAGCCGTGTTTCTCATGCAGCGGAAGTCTTGTACGAAAGTTGCACTGGAGATGTATGCATGCTGCCTTGGCCTCAGCGATGGGTACGTTTTTGACCTACTTCCTGAGCCCTAACCCCTCCAGGTACCTACTATATACGTACTAGAGCCCCTAGGGCCCTCTATAGCAGGTACCTGGGGGGTTAGGGAAGAATTTTACAAAGCCTCACCCTACCTATTGCGCCCAAAGCTGCAGAGCCTCAAAAACAGGCCTCAACTCTCCCATACCCTCGATGTCTGGACCCGGCCATGTCTACCGAGACACCCGACTACTGCTAGAGCCTAAGTGCCCATGATCCGAGTCAGGGTAAAAAACCTCTAACAACGACATTCTTATGATCCTGTCTTCCAAAGTCCCTGAAACCAAGAGCAGCATGCTTAGACATACCGCCTGAAATCTCTTTCTTATGATCCTGTCTTCCTAACCTATGTGCCACAGCCCCTGTCACCTCTTGGCAATGCCGCTGCCGCTGCCCTCGTCCTCCGCGGTCACAAGACCTTGAGTCGCCCCAGAAGTCAATCTAGGCGTTTTTAGGGGTTTAGGCTTTACCCAGAGGCTCCTAAGTAGTTCCTTTTTGTGGTTTATATGTAGAACCCTATAAGGTAATCCCAAAAAGGAACTACTTAGGAGCCTATGGGGAGGGTTTGGCTAGCTGCAGGTGTTCCGGAAGCGTGGTTTCTGAATTCCCAGCCCAAAGCCTCGAGGATTGCCATCCCAGACCTGTTCTCGGAAACCAAGGGTTTAGGGTTTAGGGTTTAGGGGCTACAAGGGTAGTTTCCACAAAGTCCCAAAATCGACACGAAGGTACTGGAATCCTTTTTGATTGTGGGGACCCCAAACTGTGCAAAATCCTAAACCCTATGTATCCTGAAAATATCCGTATGTAATCCCTATAAAAGCCCTATATACCCTTTTTTCAGGGACCCTGATATTTGCGATATTTGCGGAATGAATCTTTTCTTCGGTGCAATGGATGGGCCGACGGCTGACAATGGGCAGGTCTCACAAGATCGGAACTAGGCAGGTAAATCAATACACAGTAGTGCTGTATGGGGCTATACAAGGGTTCTGCACGGATATATAGGGTTCAGGGTAGATTGCGAAACACAAACGTTGTGTGAGGGTAAGGTGCGGTTTCTCTACAGATGTATAGGGTTTTAGGGTTTCGGATCTGGGATCATCCGTGAGAGTAACACAAGAAACTACAGGCACCGGTTACTTTGAGTTTTCCCCACCTAGCGAGTCGCACTGTAGAACCCCAGCATCTTTGATGGTCCAGTACCTGGTTGTTCCTAAAACCTAAACCCAGAACAGTGGCACCTAGAATCTGAGAGCTGCAGCTGTCTGAACCTGTCCAGGTGTTCTCGTCCGTGTCTGCGCCTTGCCAGGGTGACCAAACCATCATCATGCTTAGACTTGCTGGCCGTAGGGAATGGGAATGAAGCAGAGTCACAACCTTGAGCCGGCGATTCAAGTACTCTAGGCACCTTAAGTAGATAGAACATGACGTACCAAAAGCAAAATATGATCCCCATATGCCCCATATTCTATCCACTGACTGCACTTAACCCAAGCCATAACCCGCTGACACAGTGCCCATGGCTGCCTGACGCAGTTGCCCCGCCGCCCTGCATTAGCAGCAGTTGTTCCTGGGTGAAGATGGCAGGCTTGTGTCTTTCTTCTGAGACCCAGTTCTTGTGGGTGTAGGGTTTGGGGCGTAGCTCTCTTCTGGGATCCAGATCTTGACTCAAAGAAGCTCAAGGCCTACAGTTTACGTCTGAACTCTGCAACCCCTTGCATTCAAATGGTTGTCTGCCATCTTCATACGCGGAATCTAGCACCATAGCAATGGTAATTCTGTAGGCCTTACATAGCATAATTGGGGTTCTCAGGCCAATGTGCCGCAGCGTGCCGAAGATCTCCTGTGCTCCGGGCAAACCGATGGGGCACTTGGAGGGACCCTAGTGCCAAATAAGATGCACGGCTGCAGAGGGATGTGCAAACATGGCGTACTATGTTTTGTGGTGTAGTGAAATGCAAGGGTATACAGGAATGTGTAAGTATGTAATATAATACACTCTCTCCCTCTCTCTCTCTCTATATATATATATGTGCTTGTATATATGTGTATATATATATATTATACACACATCATACGCACATGCTAACCCTTAGGACCCCAAGAAGTATTACCCAACTGTGGAATCCAGACCCTACGTAATCGCCTCCGTAGGACAGGAAAGAATGGAGAAGGCCATGGACAACTTCTGCTTTATTCGGGGCTTCGGGGGCTGCTCTAAGGGATCCATGCCTTCATTCCCTACTATCCTAGACCCTAAATCCTGGACCCTACCTGTAGTCTCCATTGGAGTTCCATTGTTTGGCGTAACCCACTTTATATTGAGGATCCTAAAGGGTAACCCCAAAAAGGACCTTCAATGGAGACTTTAGGTATACTCCATGGCACACATTCCGTTCAATCCCTACAACCAGCGAGTTGAATCTTTCCTATGCATAAGGTGCTTCCCCTTACAGTAGCTGTTGCCACAAGAAAAATAGTGGGAGTTCTAAGGGCCCCTTAATTAAACCCACAAGCCCGAAACCCTAAAGCTTACCCATAGGCTCCTAAGTAGTTCCCTTTTGTGGTTCATATGTAGAATCCGATAAGGTAATCCCCAAAAAGGAACTACTTAGGAGCCTATGGGTAAGCCCCACCTTTGGCAAATTCTCAGATGAGCGGCGACTGACTGCGGTGGGAGACCCAGCCTCACATGCCATTCGGCCTACTCCCAAAATATGGGAGTTAGGATTAAGGGGACCCCTTTGTAGGGTTTAGGGTTTAGGGTTCTGGGCAAGTTCTGGGCTGAAGGTTTAGGGTTTAGGGTTTAGGATCGGGGATATAGACCCTCTCAATAAGGAGTGTTAAGAAGGGTCCCCTTTAAGGGCTCTCCCCAATACTACCTAGGACAAAACAGGGATGCTAATTGTTAAAAGGTTTTCCGAATAATTGAGAATCACATTGAAGAGACATGGATCTTCCGGGTCCCTTAGCGGCAAAAAATGATCTACGCCACTTCAAACCCTCGGCATGTAGAGCACACACATCAGAAAGAGAGACTTCCGTAGATGCGTCTTCTCGCAGTGCAACAAATCAGTCTTGGGGAGACTTGCCCTTGCATCACCTGCTTGCAATCACGCGACCAAATGACGTTGCCCGGAGAGTTGCGCAAGTCCTCCCGCAAAACAGGGCCAATGTTTCATATGCCAGCAGCACAAGGACCGTCACAAGACGTACAACGCAGCACGCAGAAGTCATAAATGAAACAGAACTTGCAGTTTTCCTGCAAGGTTGTAAGCCAGCCGTCTTCTCTCATGCATCACCTTTTTATGTGGGGGGTTCCCAAATTCAAGGCTCCTTTTCACGGGTATCGTATGGACGTCTATTCTGTAGTCCCCCGATTTCTGTAAAGTACGATCTTGATTGACATCCCGGGACCTCCAACTTACAAGAGCTTTTCATGGGTCCTCCGAGTAACCCCCTCCCGCTGCCCTAATGACAGGGAGAGAGAGGGGGGGTAGTAAGGTTTAGGGTTTAGGGTTTAGGGTTTAGGGTTTAGAGTGTAGACTCCATGTGTGACGGTTCTTTTCCAGGCAACGCCCAAAGGGGTCCCGTGATTGTGGAAACCTCCCTTTACAGTGGACCCTCTAACGTCCCCTTAGCCCTACACTCCTTCACCCTAAAATAAGCGCTTAAGCTCTTTCCCTCCCGGGGTCCAACTGCGTCGAAGCGAGCTCTTTCCTTAGTGGCTGATGGCCAGGAAGGAGTGTTAGATCTATCTAAGGTTAGGGTTTAGAGGGATTGGGGTTTCATCAACATATTTAGGGTTTAGGGTTTAGGACTGATACTTAAAGACTTAAAGCCTTATACCTTGCATCAGTGGGATTATCATACGGCTCGAATAGGTTATAACCACCAATCCCCTCATATTCAAGCCCACCACCCTGTCCCACTTTCCCAATGTGGCGGTATGCTGCCTTTCAACCAAAAATGTTAGATACAAAGATACTAACTAGACCTTCTAGGCCCTTGTTCTACCCATACTTTGGGTGTTTCAGGGGAAATGATAGGGTCACAAGTTAGATCATGCAAGCCCCTTGATCCACGCTAAATTTGGGTCGTCATGGGGGAGGCTGTGTCCTCTGGGAAGGGAGCTGCAAAATCGGTCGGCTTTCCAATTCTTGGTAATGGTGCTGAGGTGTGTGTGAAAGCTTCCCAGAGAGCCCAATACCCCTTAAACAAGGAATATACCTTGAATTATAGGGGCCGTAATCTTATGATTTAAGGTATGTGCCTCAATTAAGGGGTATTGGGCTCTTTGGGTGCGGATCGCAGTTGCTGGGTAGCTTTTTTACGAGATGGGATGCTTACCACAGAGCTTGCAGCTGAGATGCATGGCAACTTGCTGACGCTTCAGCTGCTGTTGCCGTTGCCTGTGAGGGCTTCTACAACGCCCGGGGGCCATTTGCTTTCCGAGGCAAGAGGTTGGGCGGCCAATGGTGCAACCAGGAGCTGCAGCAAGGCAATCATCAGGCGCAGTGCAATCACCAGCCGCACCGGCCGCAGAGGCGCAAGACCAGGCGCAAGTGCGAAGCAGCCGAAGCAGCACAAGCACCCCACAATACGAGGATGCCAACGACAACAGCAACAGCACAAGCTATGCAATGATGAGCATTACGTTTCAGAACATCACGTTGGAGCAACTCACCATCTGTGAGGGTACATAACCTCAGCATCCAACAGAGATCTGTTGATGGATTTCCGGTGCACTATCTGATCTCATGGAACATATCCGGACCCTGTCCAATGAGTTCCAGGAACATGGGCATGAAAAGACTGGTCGATGGGTATCTGCGTTGTTGCAACCAATCCGTGAATGGATTGCAGGGCTTTCCAATTCCCCCTTCGCTGACTCATCTCCGAAAGCCTTACATCGCGTCAACAACTTCCTCCATCCCGCGATCCAAGACAGGGAGCTTTTTCAGCTTTTCCACCTTCCTCTTGGCAATGCGACGTCTGAAGGCAGACCTGTGATTCAGGAGCTGACTGGACGTTTCAACCTCGTACTAAAACACCCACAGCAACTAGCTCTTTTTCCAGTGTCCGACATGCCTCCAAGTGTTGTTCTTATGCTTGCAAGTGGGCCATCTAATGTTGAAGGCAATCTACCCACAAGGTTTGACAAGAAAGGATTCCACACACACCACCGCGTTTCAAAAGATGCTCCGACAACAACAAGCGGATCAGTGCGCATGAAAGCAAATGGAGAAGCGAACTCATGTTAGTGGGAAAATATGAATATGAAGCCTGGACCTGTTTTGTGAGATCGATTAACAGAGCCCGGAAAGAAATGAATTGCGGTCGAAGGTGCTGCAATGTCTTGGCATTTTTCAACTCTGATTCGCCTTAACGCCACCAACCTTCTGAAGAACAACACGCAAAGTTTGTCATGATTGTCATGGTGGGTATTACGCAACATGCCCCCGAAGCCTGGACCCTACCCTAACCCCCCAGGTACCTACTATATAGGGTACTAGGGCCCCCTAGGGCCCTATATAGACCTCCCCTTCACGGAGTGTAGTTAAAGCCCCCGGTATTTCCCCCACAGCTCTAGCCGTCAATCACAGGTTTGCCGCTCTGACCCTGATCTTACACCCGTTTGTATTACCCTAAACCCTGAACCCCAAACCCTAAAACCCGAAACCCTAAACCCTAAACCCTGAACCCTAAACCCCTAAACCCTAAACCCCTAAACCAGCCGCGGAGCTGGATGAGGATCACCTTCCTGAGGAAAGACCGCATGTCGAAGTTCAAGGAGAAAGCCCGAGCCTGGGTCGCAACATGTTCCCAATGTCCTAGACCCTCCACCATACTTGCTATCCCTAAACCCTAAACCCTAAACCCACCTAAACCCTAAACCCACATTAGCCCTAAACCCTATTCGGGCCTCAATACTTGCTATCAGGGGCCATGCATCCCCAATTAAAGGGCTAGGAGGGTCTTGGGTAGAGGTCTGACTGATCAGGATAGAGTTGTGGGTGCACACTTTTTTCTTGTCTCCTATAGTGCGCACTCTGCCATCATCAGATCAGGTCTTGAAGGTCCTCTGCTCCCAAACACCGGCTGTAGCATGCTCAGGGAATACCCAACAACTATGTACTCGGGATTTAGGGAACAGTACGTTTGACACAGATGTTGCGCGCACCCGCCTGCGCTGGAAAGTGCTTCACGGGATCGACTACATTTGACACAGGCTCCTGCTCTGGCGGCGGACAATCCAAGCCTTTAAGCTCCAGACACTGCCCACAAACTCAGAAACGAATGCTCGGTAGTCCTGCAGCAGGATGACGCCGTGGGGGGATCGCGTGCAACATGCATCATCGACCCTTGTGGCGTACATGTGTCTTCATATATCTATCTATATCTATATGCATATATATATATATACATGTGTGTGTATATATGTATATGTATAGTTATTTTATACGTATATATGTGCTACATGTACATATGTGTATGTACGTATGCATGCATGTATGTATGTATGTATGTAGGTAGGTAGGTAGGTAGGTAGGCAGGGAGGTAGGTAGGTAGGTAGGTAGGTAGGTAGGTAGGTAGGTAGGTCTGTATGATGCATGCTGTCTGTCTGTATGTATGTGCGTATATGCATATACATATAGATATGTATTTGTACACATACACACAGGCTGGGCCGTCTTCCCTTGCCCCAAATGTTCGTGACTTGGCGCAGAACCATGTGCTGCCCCTGATAAACTTAAACCATTGAGCCAGTGGTTTCATCCAACAGGAGACGCTAAACCAAACCATTCGACCGATGGTTTCCCCGTTTCCCCCCGCCAACGGAGCCACAGAGCCATCAAACCAATTGCTTTCCCCATGTGAAAGTCTAGATGGGCTCCCCTGGTGGGAAATTTGATAGGTCCAATGGCTTAGTGGCCCAATGGCTTAGTGGTTCAGCTGTTTGCTAGTGTTCATCAACTTCGTGTTTTTTTTTTTCAGTTCCTGGCGTTCAGCGACCGGCTTAGTCACTCGTTAGCTCGAGATTGAGTGTATGAACCTGACGAGGGTTTGACAAACCTGCCCCAGAGTTTATGATCCCTGGGCACTGGGCTCCTTTGAACAGGTTGGCTTTTTCTATACTAAAAGCCGTTGGCAGTAGTTCAATCTATGCAGCAAGCAACAGAACAAGACCCATCTTGTTAGCAGTAGTTTGCGGCAATCTGAAGAAAAAACACTGAAGATATCGGGCTACACTTCCTTCAAGTTTGCTGGGCTAGGCGATTTCAACGGTTCAAACTCCACACTCCTGATCCCAAGTTTAAAGGTTGAAACACATTCCACCGTTGCAGTGCGCAACACATAAGCCATAAGCCTTTCTTTCTTGTTGCCAGGATTAGATAGCGGTCCACTTCCAGAGTCTGCTGCGGAAATCTCACAGGGCTGCCAAACCCTCTGTTCGGGGGTGCCTAGGCTCATAAACCCAACCCCCGTGATAGAATTTTGGACAAAGGCAACCCTAGCTATGGTTCATTGTTACTTCCGTTTTAAAACGAGCAGATGCAAATTCTGTGGACAGGGTGAAGCAGATTAACGGGAGTGCGAGCCCAAGGATTGTCAACTCTGTGCAGGTTTATACACCCTACACCCAAACAAAACCCAATAGATTTCCCCCGGGGCGAAGCTACCAAACCATGAAACAATAAAGAATCAACTCAAGAAGCCAGTGAACCAATAAATCCTTAAGCCAACAAGCCATTGACTCAATAGTCCCCCCACAGTGGAGACACCCAACAGAACAATTACACCGATAAGCAAACAGCTCCCCCGCTAAACGGAGCACTTCACTAAACCATTCAACGAAAACTTTTCAACCATATGGACAGCTGGGTGTGCTCCTATCGGGGAGACGATGGGTCAAACCAGTTTCTTCTTGGTTGAATCTTTTGGTGGCCCAACCCTCCCTTTTGGGGGGCGAAACTCTTGGGTTGATGGTTTATTGGTTCAGCGGCTTAGTGGCTCCAGTTGAGGGGAAACTATTGGTCCCATGGCTTGATGGTTTAGTGGCCCCAGTACGTAGGCGTGAACCTACCGCTTTGATGTTGCAGGGGGCATGTGCGAGGTCACCATATACACACACATACGCAGAAAGATACACTTGTATATTGTGATATATCTTAACGGTCTTGCTGCATCACAGCATGCAGAAGAATCCTCATACTCGCGCCCCTTCTCATCGAGGACAACGTTGCCCAAGAGCCTGGGAAGCAGTAGACTTGGAACACACAAGAGGTCAAAGGTTCAGCGTTTTGCATTGCGTTTCAGGATCTCTTCCCTCCCGATTCAAGAAACCTCCCATACCATAAACCCTAAACCCCTAAACCGTAAAACCTAAACCCCTAAACCCTAAGCTCCAGAAACGGTCCATCCAAAGCACCCAGAAGGCTCTTAGAGGACGACTCCGACATTGCAGCTGAGCATCCAGTGGTAGTATCGCAGGAGGTCGGCCGCTCTGTCCTGCGCAACTTGACATGCAAGGATGATCTTAGGCCTTAACAGACCTAAAGCCCTGAAACCTACGAACAGCTGGTAAGAGTGAGCGCCCTAGTTGTAAACAGTTATCAGCCTTATCACCTGGTTATTCAGGCTCTGCATTATGATTACCCATAAACCCTAAACCCTGAACCTTAAACCCTGAACCCTAAACCCTAGACCCTAAACCCTGAACTGATTAAGAGTACCCATGAACTCCCAGGGGTCAGAGTTTGGGCACCACACAAAGGCGAAACTTCTGGCCTTCGGGCTCTCCCCATAGGCTCCTAAGTTGTTCCTTTTTGTGGCAGGATTTAGGGTTTAGGGCAGTTTTTTTTTTTGAAGGGCCCTTTTTAGGGCAGTTTAGGGTCTAGGGCTTAGGGTTTAGGGTTTAGGATTTCTATGTAGAATCCTATAAGCTAATCTCAAAAAGGAGCTACTTAGGAGCCCATGGGTAGGGCTGCTGCGCAAGGCTTCGGGACATCGCGCAATGCGGGTGCGGGAACAGAGCGCCCCGTTTCTTCTTTTGTGGGATGTGCGAGATAAGTTTCAGAGTTGAAGCCCGTGAGGAACCAACATCTCATTGGAGGAAAGGCCGAAAAACGTTGTGGGAACCTTGGGTTAGTAACCATAGGCTCCTAAGTAGTTCCTTTTTGTGGTTTATATGTAGAACCCGATAAGGTAATCCCAAAAAGGAACTACTTCGGAGCCTATGGGTACTTATGACTTGTTACAACAAGGGTTGTAAAGGGCTCATTAAGAGAACCTAACCGAGACGCTAACTCCATGGTCCCTGTAGGGTTTAGGGGTTTAGGGTTTAGGGTTTAGGGTGTAGGGTTTAGGGTTTAGGGTTTAGGGTGTAGGGTTTAGGGTTTAGGGTTTAGGGTCCAGGATGAAAGATTAGACGCGACCTTGCAAACCTCAAGAGCTCAATCAGCTTATGCAAAGCTCCCCCAAAGACCAGCCAGCCTGCTGTCTCACCATAACGGCTATTTCAGGAAACCTTTCTTGGCCCTAAACCCCCCCCCCAACCCTACTTGATACCTGAACCCTTAAATTAAAGGAAGCTGCAGGTGGGGAGTTTAGGGCATAAAGGGCTTCTATAAGGCATGTAGACCTTCTATAAGGCTCCTATAACGGTAACTATACCCACCTGAAAATGTCCTTGATTAGACCCAAGATTCGAAACCCTAAATCCTAAACCTCCTTTTGCGGCTAGACCTGACTTTTTCCCATCCCTGTCCAGGTTTCCGAAGGCGGCCTGCGTGGACGTTGCCAACTCCTGTCAGCAAGAAGGTGCTACCAACCCTAAACCCCAGACCCTAAACAAACATGAAGGCTTTGGGCTGCTCAGTTGAGAACAACCGCGAAGTCGAATGAACGAGGAGTGGGTTTAGGGTTTAGGGTATAGGGTTTAGGGGGGATTAGGAGTGTGTGCAAGGGCCTGTTTACTTGGACGCGGGCTCTGTGGCAGATGATAGTGCAATTACATGTCAAATGTCACGATTAAGGAAAACAACACCGGCAACCTGCATGTTATGCATTCCATGAGACGCTATGACGCTATGGTTTTCACCGGATCATGCGATGGTCCATGAGGGCTGGGTGATCAGCCAGTGAGCAAAGGCCGACAAGATCTTGAAACCCACGGAACCCTAAACCCTAAACCCCTAAACCCCTAAACCCCTAAACCCTAAACCCTAAACCCTAAACCCTAAACCCTAAACCCTAAACCCCTAAACCCCTAAACCCCCAAACCCTAAAGGCCGACAAGATCTTGAAACCCATGGAGACGCACAGCATGGTGGGGTTTGATGTGGATGTGTTGAGGGATGGTCAGTGGGATGTCCTAAAGGAGAGAGACGGGATCTTCAAGTTTTTACTTTCGGGCGCAGCTGCAGGACGGATTGCGGGGATTATGTCATCGCCGCCCAACACCTCTTCGTATGAGCTTTTGCTGGGGATGATGGTGGTGACACAGAAGTGGGGAAGGAGGGCCGCAAGGTGTCGTGTGAGAGCATGGATATCCAGACACAAAGAGCTACCTTTAAGCTGCGTGTGCATGGTTTTCCTGAGAGAAATTCCGATCTAAAGCCATGTTTGGCTACTGACGGCAAGGTTCCTGCACTGACGACACCTTTCGGTTCATGTTGTTTGCACAATCAGCCTCGTAGTGCTGCCACGACGCGAGCAAAGGTTTGCGACAGAAGGGTTCTGCTCGACAAAATATGGGGTTTGTAGAGGGCTTATGTAAGGGGGTTCATATAAGTTTGCCCTTAGAGCAACCGATGTGTATTTACAAAGGGACATTGTACCTATTTGTATCTTATGTTTTGGGGGTCTAGCTTACTTTGGGTAGGCGCAACCATGGAGAAGAACCCCAGAAACACGAGTAAGAAGGACAATGCCAGTATCTTCTTGCAGATGTAAAACGGCGACTGCTTCATTGTCATAGGCCCCCCGCCCCAAAAAAAACCCTTCGCAATGCCCATGCATCCCTCAGAGTTCTCATACACAAGTTCTCGCGACGGCATGTGCTGGCAAGAGGATGAGCATGACAACGATGATGATGGTGATGGTGATGATGATGATGAGCAGCAGCAGCAGCAGCAACACAAGCATGGAGGAAGAAGATGACGATGGTCGTAGCCACCATCATCTTCATCAAGGATCAGTGAGTGGTGCCCGAGGTGTTTGGCGCAAGCTGCCTGTTTGTTGGATGGAGACTTTTTGTTTCTAGCCAAAACCCCTACCTGTGTTGTGCTGCATTGATGAAGCCGTCAT